TTGTTGCTACTATGTACTCATCACACACCATTTTTTCAGTCATCACATGACTGTGTAATCATCACATGATATAATTCTGTTCATCATGACACTTAAAAGGTAACCTGAGCAGCAATGTATTCACCAGTGGCATATGTATACACATTTATCTCTGAACACACATCGTCAGTATTAAATTTTAATGTATATTCACAAGTATTCCATGCATCCTAATCTTGCACCAAATACAGTTTAGGTAATGAATGATTTTTAAATAATGCTGGCACAATTTTTTAAAAAAATGGTTGCAACCCCACTTTTTTGCAAAAAAATTTGGCATAAAATCTGCAGTGATTATGCGGTAAAATATAGTAAACTACTAAGGCAATCAGAGGTTAAGTAACTTGCCCAGGGTCACATGGCTAATAAATGCCTGAGGTTGCATTTGAACTCAGGTTTTCTCGACTGTGGCCCAGAGCTCTATGCACTGTGCTACTAACTACCTCTAGGTACTAGAACAAATCCAATCCTCTTCCTCTATGTGACATCTATTGTTTGTCCTTCATTTTCAAAGAGGACCACTGACATCAAAGGGTGATTTCTTGACTTGCTGATAAATTGGATTTAAGTGAGGCAGGATTGCACAAAGTCACCAGCCTCACTCTCTCTTCCAGAGTCATCAAAATCCAGGGGCAGAGCAAAAGTCAAGGTGACTGGCAATGGCCTGGGATTCAGTGGATGACCCTGGTGTCTTACACATCTTACTGAGCTCTAAGCACTCCACACCACCTGCTTCAGCTGCCTTCATGGCTGTGGGAACAAATCGTTCTCATCTGCCCACTTTGCTAGCGGAAGTCTTCATATACTTGGAGTACACCTCCCCACTACCTCACCGATGGGTTTGTGGTCTGTTGGTTACCCTTCTATTGGTTTGGCCTGGTTTTACCAAGGCGTGGCTGCTGCGTGTGTTACTGCTTCTTGGAGCCGCAGGTGAGGGTTGGGTGACAAGTGTCCACCAAAGGTAGACGAGCAGCTCTACAAAGGGCTCAGCAAACCCTCACACCAGAGGTCCTAGTCTTTTATCAACACCTCATACCTCTCATGTGACCATTATTGAACTACTTCACAACAAACATCATCCTCTGCTAAGTCTTCTCCAGGCTCAATGCCTAGAATTTTTACAGCCAGTTCTTGAGAAGAGTCTTGATGTCCCTCCTCCTCCAGTTTGTCAATGTTCTTCTTAAAAATGATGTTTGAAACAGAATATAATACTACATATTTACCTGACCATTGGAAGAGTACTGAAGGACTCTCACCTCCTATACTTCCAATGCTATGATTCTCTTAATACAGTTTAAGTTTGCATTAGGTTTTTGGGGCTGTCATTTTTGCACGGTTGGCAGACAATCCAATAAAATACTCACATCTTCTCATAAATTTTTGTCAAGACATGACTTCTCACATTTTACCTGTGAAATTGTATCCATTTGTCTCTATTGAATTTCATCATATTATATCTAACCTGTCATTCTAGCCCAGGGGTAGGCAAACTGTGGATTTGGCACCAAATCTGGCCTTCTGTCAGTTATTGTATGGCTCTTGAGCTAAGAATAGCTTTTATTATTTTTTCACATTTACTTTATTTTTAATTTATGGAATAAAACAAGCATTTTCATGACATAGTATAGTAAAAAAGATGATTGTACATGAAACTGCAAATCTATTATGTACACCTTGTTATTCCTTTTAAATATATAACAAAGTTATTATGTAAATTTCTTTTTTTTTCTTCCTTCCCCCACCCTAGAGATGGCTACCATTAGACACAAATAGGTATACACACATGTGTAAAATTATTTATACATAATTCTATTTATCAGTTCTTTCTCTGGATGCAGATAGTACCTTTCTTCATATGTGCTTTATAGTTAATTCGGCTACTTATAATAGTCAAAATGACTCATTTATTTAAAGTCATTCTTAAAATAATATTGCTGTTACTGTATAGAATGTTCTCTTGGTTTTACTCATTTTACTGTTCATTATTTTGTGCAAGTCTTTCCATGTTTTTCTATGATCATAGAGCTCTTACATTTTAAAATACAGTTTTATTGTATTTTAAAATGTAAAACCCATTTTTAGCTCTCCTACTATACAAAAATAGGTGTCAGCAGGATTTAGCCTTTGAGTAGTAGTTTGTTGTCCCCTGCTGAGATTTTTTTTGGGGGTGGGGGGATTCTGTCATCCAGTGTGTTAGCGGCAATGTTTGCCATCTGTAAATTTGACAAATTGATCATCTATGCCATTTTCTAAGTCATTTATCCTGAGTATAAGACTAAGGATGGATCCCTGGAGAATGTCACTAGAAACTTTCCTCTAAGTTGACATTGAAAATGTCCAAGATGATATTAATGACTATCTTTGGAATGTGGTCAAAATAATAGATCTAAATTCACTTCTCTGTACTATTTTCTAGCCCACATATCTCTACTGTCTATAAGCCCAGTATGAGGGACTACATCAGGTTCACTTGCTCCTTCAATCTGCCTCTAGTTCCCTTACCATCTTGGTTAATTCCCTTTGGATGAATTCTAGTTTTATGGTGTCACAAAACTCAGAACAATACCCCTGAGATAGTCAGAACAGAGCAGAGAACAGACTCAAAATGCCAAGGCTACTAATTTGTTGTACTCACTGCCTCCATTTTCTCACCACTTTTAACCCCCTTCAACCTGGCTTCCATACTCACCACTCTATTGAAGCTGCTCTCATTAAGGTCATTAATGACATTCTAAGGACCAAACCCCAATAGTCTTTTCTCCTTTCCTCATCCTTCTTCTCTCTGAGGTATACAGTACTAGAAAGTACCTCCTCCTTCTTGAATCCTTCTCCCTGCCTTTGTTTCTACAGTATGACATGTCATCCCTGTGGTTCTACCTCTATCTCTGCCTATCACTTCTACTCTTTTTTTTTTTACTGGATCTTCTTTCTCCTTTTCCTCTTAAATGTTACAATATTGTAAACTAGGCCATCCTCTCTATATGTACTCTTTCCCTTAAGAACATAATTTATCCCCACAGCTTTAATTATCTTTTTTATCCAAATCTGTTTTTCTATACCCCAACAACTCTGAAGACCTCTAACTCTTCTAGTTCCATATTTCCATATACCTGCTGAATATTTCTGCTTAGGCATTCTATCAGAACCTCCAATTCAACATATCTAAAGCTGAATTTATCTTCTGTTTTACTAAACCTGCCCTTCCTCTTAAACTCTCTATTTATGTTAATGGCTACATCATCCTAGGCTTAAAATTTGGGAATCATCTTTGACTCTTCTTACTCCCTCACCCCATTTATCCAAACTGCTGTGAAGTCCTGCCATTTTTATCTGTAATTCCTCTCTCCCTCCTTCCCTCATTCCTTCCCTCTCTCTCTCCCTCGCTTTCTTTTTCTCTTGTGCTGGAGCTTCCTCTCTGCTGCTAATGCAACTACCCTAGTTCAGGCTTTCATTTCTTCTTGCTTAGAAATTCCACCTAATAAACCTCTGTGCATGTCTATCTTCAAGCTATCTTTTATAATGCTACCCAAACAATCTTCCAGAAACTAGTATGATGATACTGCTTCTCTATTCATAAACTTTCAGTGGTTTCCTAATGCATATGGAATGAAGTATAAACTTCTGTCTCTTGTATTCAAGGCCTTCCACAATCTGGTTCCAAATTATTTATCCAACCTTTTATAGCATATTTTTATGTATTTCCAGACAAATTGGACAATTTTCTTTCATTCTAATCCTCCCTTTTCCTATCTCTGTGTTTTTGTTCATTCTTTTTCACCAGGACTGGAATGGACCCTTCTCACTCTTCCTCTTACCATCTAACCTCTCTCTCCTCTCTCCATCTGATCAAGCCCCTAATCTTCCTTTAAAGATCAGTTCAGATATTACTTCTTTCATAAAGACTTCTCTTGATTCCTCCAGGTGAGGGGAATCTCTCTCTTTTCAAATTTCTTCTTGCACTTTGGCAGAACTTATTCTTTGTACTCTCCTCACTCTCCTTTTTATTATAGTTATTTGTGAACTGTTCTCTCCACACCTAATTAGGATATTGGGATTCAAATGAAGCTACTTTACCATACTTTAACCCAAAATCACTCTGGCTCTCAGTGATTGGCCAATAGTAGGTCCCAGACCAAGCCTCATTTAATCATTGTTTGGGTTTTGGTGGCTCAGAGTGTAAATAACAATTGTGTCCATTCTGGCCCGAAACCCTCAGGGTCTTCTCTTCCCAGTTTGATTTTTTTTTTTGAGTAAACAAACTAGGCCATCATTTGCCTCATTTCTTACCTAGCCTTAAATCACTGAATGGGTGTTGCCTAAAACAAATTGAGACCTGGGAAAGACCTTAGCTTAAAAAGACCAAGGTCTTTCATTGCATCTGGGTTCATCACCAGTTGTCCTGACCTATGTCTTGCCACTGGACTCAGATGACTCTGGAGGAGAGAGTGAGGCTGTTGACTTTGCACAGCCCTGCCTCACTTCAATTCATTTGCAAGTCAAGACATCACCCTTCTGATGTCATTAGTCCTCTTGAGAATGAAGGACAAACAACTGTGTAAAAGCTCCTTAAAGCCATATTTGTGTTGTACTTATTTTTTAATCTTAATAGGTGTTTAACAAACATCTATTGAATTGGTTCCCTGCTGCAAAGACCCATTGTTTTCTACTGAGTACATTTTCCTTTATTTCCCCTCTGTTTCCATTCTTTTGTTTCCTTCCTCTCAGTGTAATAATCTTGCTCTATCACAGGCATATCATGAAAGAAAGCTGTTGTTCAGATATTTTGCATATCTATCTCATCTGAAAATGATTTTTTTTGGACCAAATATCATACCAATGACACAAATGAAAAAGTTTTCCATGAAGTCAACCATTCTTAATGGATGGTACTAACCACTAGAAAGCTATACTACAATCTTTAGGTTTACCCAAAGTGCAAGGCGGGTGTATTTGCTACTTACTTTGCCTCAGGGGGCATTTTGATATTTCTGGGAGGTAGACTTGGAACTGGTGGTTGCATTGGGTAAGGGGCTGGAGGAGTTGGTTGAGAGGCAGGATGTGCTGGTGGAGGAGGTGGAGGTGGTGTGGTCACAGAATAAGGCATTGTTCCTTTGTTGGAAACTGAAATGCAAACAAATAGAGAGAATTAAGATCTGTTATAAGAGCATAATGTCATAGATTTAGATCTGAAAGGAATTTATAGATAATTTACAGATAATCTTATCTAGTCTAATTTCATTAACACCTATGAAGACATAGTTCTAGAAAGGTGAAGTCACTTACCAAAGTTTACACAGGTGGCAAATATCAGAACTGGAATCTGAACCAAGAACTTGACTCCAAATCCACTCCTTTTCCTGTATTATACTGACTCATTATACTGGTTACCTTTTTATATATGAAATAAGGATTTTTAACATGGACCTACAAAGAAATGCTATTTCAGGTCATACCACTTTTGATTTTGCCTCAAGTACTCCTGCTTTCCAGTTTATCAAACCCCTCAGTTCTCATGATCTGAAGCTTTACTCAACTTCAGACACACACAGGGATGGCTTTACTCTTATCTTCTCACAATATAGTTTCCCTTCCACAATCCATAAATTAAATTCCTCTATTAGACCACAACCTTCTGTCCCTTCATCTCTCTCTCTGTATTTTACCCATCCTAAATTTATTCTTCATCCTTACAGCAATCTTTTCTCAATCTGCCCTTCTCTGTTTTCCTAGGTGCTAGCCTCACTTTCCTTTCTTGAAAATCGATCCTTCATCTGGATTCCTTTCCTTTTTGTCTTATTGCTACTTAAACCCTTCCAAACTCCAGCCCTTGGATTACTCTCAGCATGGATCTTTTTTCAGTCCTGCCCAAGTGGTACAGAACACCTCTGGAAGAAGTCACACAAGTGGGTCTACTCAGTTTACTACAAATTTATGTTATCCAATCTTAGCTGCACTCTTGCTGCTACATGGCAAGCCTTTTACTCTTTCCTTATTAATTTCTTCTACTTCTCAGAGCAGCTATTCAAAACTTTCTCTTCTCTCCTCAAGTCACCTATACTATCAGCTAAAAAAGGAAGGCCATTCTTCAGAACCTGCTTCTCCTGATCAATTCCGTAATTCAAACTACCTTTGTATCAACAACACCTCACTCAACATTTTCTCCTCCTTTGCTTAATCTCAGAAGATGAGGTAGCCTGGTTCTTCTCTTTCTCAATCTATACGCTCTCAGTGATCTCATCAACTCCCATGGGTTTAACTATCATCTCTATATAGATATCTCCTAAATCTACATCTCCAACTCTCATTTCTCTTCCAAGCTCCTGGCCTGCATCTTCAGTTTCTGCTTTTCCCCAAACCTACCCTTCCTCCCAAGTTCCCCATTTCTTCTGTCAAGGGCATCACCATTTCCCCAGCCACCTAGATTTGCAACTCTGAGTTATTCTCTACTCTTCACTCTCCCTCAGTTCATGTATCCAATGAGTTGTTATTCTTGGCAATTTTACCTTCTTAACATCTCTCACATCCTTCCCTTTCTTTCCACTCATATGATATCCATCTTTATTTTAGCTCTCATCATGTCTCTACTGGACTATGACAATGACCTTCTGATTGTTTTCCTTAAGTCCAGTCTTTCTTCACTCTAACTCAAAAACACCCTCTCAGCTACCAAAGTGATTTTTCTAAGGCAGATTTCAGACCATATCACTTTGACGATAACAGTTTCAAGGCTCAAGAAGTTTCAGGGACTCCTCAATGCTTTTTTGATAAAATACAAATTCTTTTGTTGGGCATTTGAAACAATTCAAAATCTGGCTCCCACTTATCTTTCTAGGCTGATTACAATTATTCTTGTTCACTCCAGCTTTCCATGTACACAATCTTTTATTTTCTGCCTCTATATCATCCCCTAGTCTGTCCTATTCCCCAATGCCCAGAATGCTGTGTCTCTTCACCTCAACCTCTTGGAATTTCTAGGTCCCTCAAGGCTCAGATTGATCAGATTCTCCCAGCTGTTAGTGCCCCACCCCAATCTCTTTGTATTTATTTTGTATAAAACCTGCATTTACTTATCTGCCATTTCTTCTCTTCCACCCCAGTGCTGCCCGATAGAATCTAGGCTCCTTTAGTACAGAGACTATCCTGCTTTTGTATTTGTATCTCTAGGGCTAGCACCGTGTCTGAAATGCAGAAGGTGCATAGTAAAATGCTTTTTGATTAAATCATTATTGTAAAGATCCCTTTTGGGAGATTCAGCCTTCATTCGAACATTGCATTGGATTACAAATCAAAATTTTTCCTATCCAGCACATTACATGGTCTCATAAACTTAGGTAATTTTTCCTCTTGTCTTATCTTTCCAGAGTAATTTTTTTTAAGCCTGTTATATTATGGAACTTCATCAACTTTGTGGTAATTTTAGTCATTCTCATTTGGACCTTCAAGGTTGTTGTTTCTTTCTTGAGGTACATGGACCAGACCCACCTGTAGGAATAAAGGCAAGGACAGACTAAAGTTTTATTCACCTTTATGGTGATGCTTTCTGTTTTGTTAAAAAACAAAAAAGCCCTTTTAGATAATTCTTGGCATTTTCTTGGCCTTTTTGGCCCTTCAATAGAAAACTACACTGAAGTCTTCCAAAGACTGTCCTCTTATAAGTAATTCTCTCCTCCTATCCCCCACCACTTGACCATATTGAAGAGCTCTCACTTTTCTTGCATTCACATAGGTTTATGAGATTTTCTTGCAGGTTATTCTCCATCAGTGTGGCATTTAACAATCTCAAAAACTTTGTCTTACAAGAGAATGTAAGGACTTGATTGTGTTCTTTCTCTTCCAAATCAGATATCAAAATGTCAAGTAAATGTGACCCCAGCATTAAAATCCTGGAGGATGGTGCTGCTAACACCTCACCATATTGAAAATACCCTTTTTATTCTGCCTTTGTATCACCCCATTATTTATTTTCTCCAATTCCATGGTAGCAGAATCCTTTTAACTCAACTTTGGAAAATTGTCAAAGGATATTTGAAATTTTAATGTAATGCCAAACTAATTGGTTAGGTAAACTATTATTTAAATGCTACTTCCCTCATTAAGCTTGGCAGTATGTACACTAAAGCCTCTTTTAACAATTATAATTAACAGTGAAACTCATTTACTCTGGCAAACTATTTGGTGATAGTCAAACATGTTCAAGATAATATGTGAATTTATGCAAAAATATCAGATGAAAAATATCATTCTTTTTTCCCCGTGAAAACATCTAGTAGTTTTAGCTAAACGTAATAATAGTATTTGTTCAAAAACTAACTCTATATTATGGTGTTTGATATCGTGACACTTGGTAATTCTGCTATTCTCTAGAAAATAATGTTACTTTTAGGGACTGTAAAGAAGGGTTTAATAACAGTAACAATGGATATTCCTACGCCATAAAGAACTTACATCACAACAATACTCTGAAGTAGTTTATGCAAAATTATTTTATTCACATTTTACAGATAAGGAAGCTTAAAAAATTTTTTAATTTGTATTTTCCATTCTGATACGCTTTTAGAAAAAGGTATATCATTTGTGGCAAAATTGGCTAGTTATCCAAAATAAATAATGTAAGTTCAACCTATGTATTGCTTTGACCAGCACCAGTTTTTCTCTGAGCTTGGACAAGCACCGGACGAGTGCCTGTTCTGGTCATGAAGCCCTGCTATGAATCAAACTTATCTCACTGTTGCTGTTACTCCTCATTATCAGGACTACAGCATACTGTATGGTCATTGGCATAAGTATTAAGATCTCCACACAATGCCTCGGGTCCCACCTCACTAAGGGTAGGGCCCTAGCGTGAGTCTAGATCTCCTCCTTGCCTACAAGCCACTTCCCTCACTTTGAAATTAAACTTCTGTTTGATTCCTGACTCTCCTGTCTCCAGCATGCTCTGTTCAGCTCAGGCTATTCATAGGTTAGAGGCTGATTCAGTCTGGCTGACACATGGATGGATAGTAATAATTTAACCTTTACTACAGTAATTCCTCATTTATTCAGATATCACTGATTATGTTAATTCAACTGTCTGGAACACAGGCCTTCTAATTTGTTGCTTCTTCCCTGCTGTGGGAATGGAGGTTAAATAAATAAATCTTCTAAAACTGTGTGTAAAACAAGATTGACTAATATCTCAAGGACATTAATCCTTATTAGCTTCTTTTATATGTCAAATACATGAAACTTAGTGCATGACTTTATCACATTTATCTTAGTTGCCTGTAAGTCTTCCTTTCTTTTCTTCTGGTCTTCTTCACTATGTTCCAAACAGTCAAGGTTGTTGAATGAGTGGTTTCTGAGTAAGAAAGGAGTATTGTAAATGGAAATTATTTTAGGGAGATATATAACAGTTATGGATTGTATCTATACATAATGAAGAGAACTGTTCTTTTCATTAAAATCAGTACAGCATATTTACTTGGGGAAATAAAGGAAAGGAATAGATCTGATAGCTATATTATGAAGAAAGGCTTGAAAGGAGCTGTCAGCTAATTGCGTGTGGGAAAGTGAGGGAGGGGAAAAAGACAACACTGAAAATAAGGCTGTGGCCCTGGGTGACTAGGAGCAAAGTTATTAATAGAAATAGGGAAGCTAGAAAGATGCTGAGTTTTGGGTAAAGCATGATGAGTTAAGGCTTTGAAATGTAGAGTTTGCAAACAAAATAGTTATCTACTGCCTGCAGAATGGCTACACAATTTATGGTCTAAAGCAGAATGAAGTTAGAAGAACAATTTATACTGTAACATCAACATTGTAAAAACAATTTTGAAACTATGATGAACACAATGATCAATCATGATTCCAGAGGACTGATGATGAAGCATGCTGCTTACCTCCTGACACATAGATGATGCAGAAAGAGATACATTTTTGGGCCTGACAATATGAGATTTCTTTTGTTTGACTAAGTCTCCATACATTTTGGCTCTGTGACAATATGATTCTCTTCTTTGTTCTCTCTCTCTCTCTCTCTCTCTCTCTCCTTCCTTCCTTCCTTCCTTCCTTCCTTCCTTCCTTCCTTCATTTTCTTATAGGTATGGTCCTACAAAACTGTGATTTCACTGGCATAGGTAACTTCT